GCTTTAGGCCATTACGGGATGTTCTTTATACACTGCTAAGTATACTATTTGGGAAATAATCTCTAATCAGTGTGTCAAAACCTCTTCACAACAGGAAAACATCAGGCTCTATCTCTAGACTGCGGCCTGTTCAAACACACTCTAAATTTCAAGTCTTTTACACCAACTACCAACTATTAATATTAGCAACTTTGGAAATAGGCTGAGGCTGCTTGAAGGTTCTGGGGAATGGGATGGGAGAGGAATATTGCCAGACTGAGAACTCCATTTGACTTAAGCTTTACAAATATTACCCAAAAAGTTTAAATTCTTCAGAAAGGTATATAAAACTCAAATACTAATCTTAAGAATTAATGTGAAAAAAAAATCACCTGTCCACTAATTTTTTAACTGCCCTATCCACATTTACAACTAGATTGTCCACCTGCCGTCTATAAACACAGAATATCAAAAGAATACAAATAAATTGTGGTAACAACAATGCAGATGGTCATTTGCTCACAATCCAAAGTTAGGTTTACTGACTAAAATACTGGGGGGGAAGCTCACTTACTGTGCATTTATTTTCAACATAAAGTTAAAGACCATTACAGCCACAAGTAAACAAGAGTCTTCTGTAAATGCAGGTCGTGCAAGAAATATGATACAAAATAACCTATCATTCCCTCAAGATGATTTCTTGCTGTTATCACAAGCTCATCAGTCCATTATAAATTGATTACTGCTGACAAAGAATCAATAATCAATACCTCATCCTACTGAATAAACCTTTTAAAAAAGGGCTTATCTCCAATATCCACCCCAAATTGCAAAATATTTACTTGATCTACTCTTACTTTTCTGGGTAGAGTAATATGAGAATAAGTATGTATTGAAAAGTTAAAGAGGCACTTTCAACTCTCTGAAGACTAATTGGAAAAATTCTCATGTCTATGCTATTAAAATATCTCCAATTTAACTTGCTATTTAACCCAAACCTCTGAAGTCCAAATGCTTGGTCTTTGGCTTTCCTTAGTTATTAAAACAGTTGTGTTCAGGGCTTTTTAAACAATTGATGTTTTTTTCCCTGTATTTTGCCACTGGTTAAACTCTTTTACCCACAAAAATAAAGAATGTCCAAGCCTCCAGCTTCTGAAAATAACATCTGGTATGTGCACATAACAAAAAGCTTGAGAGAATGTCCTAGTTTTTATTTAAAACTTTTTTTCATTTAAAACTAGAATTGCTTTTAGCAACAGTTAGGCAAAAATCATCTTTTACTTTATTAGGAGATTGCTATTTTCAACATTTACCTTAAACCACAACATGGATTTATCTTCTAACCAGTTGGTTTCCTGTCTCTCCCCTCAACTAGATTAGACTGTAACTTTGAGAGCAAGTGACTACTAAACCCTGTGATCTGTTTCCCAGCTAATATATTTCAAAAGCTTCAAGTCTCTACAAAGACATAAATGTAGCTAGCCTAAAAGCCTTAAGGATTTCTCTAATTTTTAAAAGCTATTCTGATAAGAACAGGTATCCTTAACAGTTACTGTAGTCGTACACCAGTGGGTTCTCAAAGTGTGGTCCTGGACCCTGGAGACCTTCCAGGACCCTTTCAGGGGGTCCAGAAGGCCAAAACTATTTTCACAAATAATATTGAGATGTTATTTTTATTGTTTACTCCTATCATTTCACAAGCATGCAATGGAGTGTTCCAGAGGCTACGTGATAGATGATTATTTCAAGAGACTGAAGATGCATACATGAGAACCCAGCTGTCTTCTATAAAGCTAAACAAACAGTTGCAAAAACGTAAAATAATGCCACTCTTCTCATCAAATATTTGTTTTGAAAAACCCATTTTATTACATAAACTGCCAATTTATGTTAACAGGTATTGGATCCATTGTTATTTATAAATTAATAAATACATATTTTAACTTTTTCCCAGTTTTAATTTCCAATATGACAAATATCAACAGATATAAGGCACACAAACAAAGGCTCTTTGGGTTCTCAATGATTTTTTAGAATATAAAGGAGTCCTAAGTACAAAAAGTGTAAGAACCACTATAGTACACAATTATATAACCTAACACACAGTGACTCCCATGGATAAGCTCAAGTTAATTCTGAAGTACAATTACTTCTTACCCCTTCTAATCTTGTTGAGTTCTGTATCTCCTTGTAAAGCATAGTGCAGCATAAAGCCAGGCTGTTCTAGGCCCCATTTAATGGGCTTTAGATATTTAATTATTCAGTCCTCTTTATAAAGATGCCCTGACCTGTAATACCACCTATTACTTGAATAATGCATGAGTTTCTCAAAATCTTCACAAAAAATTACCTTGTTCAACTAAAAGCAACCTATGAAGTAAAGGCCTAGCATTACCCTTTTATTTTTTTAGATAACATAATGAAACTGATACTCGAAGAAAACAGAACTACTTGTCCAAGGATGTATTGCTAGCTAGTAGAGCCTAGGATATTGGTCTTTTGCAATTCGCTTGGCTGTCTCACTGTGGTGTAACTGTTAACTCCCAAAGAAAATAAGGCAAGGGCATTACTTTTATTGTCCCAGCGCCAAAAGAGGGATTTTCCCCCTCCTTAATAAGAACATAATCAGATTCGATACCCAGTCACAGGATTATTCAATACATTGGACTACCCTTTTGGTCCTCTACCAAAAAAATTAAAATAAAATAAAATAAAATAAAATTCAAGAGTATTGGAGAAAAAAACACCACAATATACAATACTCCAAGATGATAAATTAGTTAAGGGCTCACAGATTTACTAATCATTTAATTGCTGAAATAACAGGCAGGCAAGAACAAGATCAAGCTTAATAGAGTAACACTAGATTATATCAACAAATGGATTCCAACAGGTTAAAATGGGAAGCCCACATAATATGGGTTCAGCTCAGAATGTGGGCAGAAGAAAAAACCCACACAAAGTTGCAAAACTAGTTTATTAGTTCTACAAATCCAAGCAAGTGACTAGAACCACCCTTGCAAAGCAATGTCAGGCAAACTGTTGCAAGATACAAAGATGCTGTCCTACCCCTTGGACAGAAATCAGCCCTCTCTTAAGGCTAAAGGTATTATTATTGTTCTTGCTATCATCACAAGTTTCTGTTATGCCCCATTTTAACTTAAGTTCCTCAAGAGATGCTCAATTTTCATCTCTTTTTTATAGTCAAGTAGACTCCTTGACTGATGGAGGCAAGACTGACTCACAACAGATTATCTGCCACTTGCCTATTTCTTTTCTTTTTTTTAGATACATGTGCCCAGGGAAGCCATTTTTAAGTTTGATGCGTTTTTACCTTAGAGAAAAGCCAGAAATGTGCCAATAGTCCATTTTGTATGCCTGTAATTTCATACAGATGAACAAGAATAATTTCACCATTCCTCCTGAGGTATGCTTTCCCTAGTGTATACACCTTGGTCATGTTTTATTTTTTCAAATTTCTTTTGGGAGAAAAAATTAAATTACATTTATAGCACCACAGCTATAGGTACAGTTATAGCTAATGTACTACCAACCAATTTGTAAGGCGGTGCAATACACCTTATTTGCTGTTCCATACTCAACATGCGTTGTTAAAAGACACACACAGTCTTATAAGAGCTAATTTATACAAGTTTCTGCATCCTCACAAAAAAATTACAATACTTCACTGTGAAACCTGTTAACTGCTTAATTTTTAAACATTTCATACAGTAAAAAGACATCTGACTTTACACAGGCAAGCAAAGCATCAACTATTTGAGAGCTCCAAGAAACCGGTTATTTCTATTCCTTATCCCAGAATACTGATTTCTTTGTGGCGCTACCTATAGTTTTTTCCAAGGACATAATTGGCGTACTTTAAGAAGTAACCTGTCAAAACTATTAAGGCATTCTCTAAACTATGTTCCCAGCTCCGGCCCACAACGAGAAATGTCACAGCTAAATCGCACCACAGCTGTTTTCCTGTATTTATTCAAATGAGCCCAAGATTTTTGAAGTGCACAATTCAAATTTTACACTACAACCCAAGCTACCAGTGATCACCTCAAAGCTAATAAACAAAGACACTAGCGGCGGCACCAGGGCCCCACCAGGAAGTAATCAAAGCAGTGTGGCCGGTGGGACCCTAAGAAGTCGCTAGAGCAGACAATGAGAGGGCACTGGGGCTTCCAAGGGGGCCGGCAGGAGGAGTTAAAATGCTCCAGCTACTCAAGAGCATTACACAAACGCAGTGACTGTGTTACGGCACATGAATGCGGGAATCCCAACGCAATTTCAGACAACCCAAAAGCTCTGAAAAGCGAACTCGAGCTGCCCCTCCAAAGCGGCTGTTGGCTCAGACCCCGAGCTTTTTCGCTAGCAGCCTGTTTTCAAACTTCACCCTCCCAGGCCGAAGAAAGACTCCGACCGCGGCCCCGAGCTTCCGAGAGCCTCGCGGGGGTTCGGGATGCCGGAGCCTGCGGGGAAGGGAAACGCAGCGGGGCCGGGACCCGCTGGAGAGGGACCCCGCGCGACAGGCAGCCCAGACAAAGCTGCGCCGGGAGAGCGGCGCTTTTCCTGTCCGGTCGGCGGAGGAACGCGACCGGGGCCCCGCCACACGTGCGGCCGCCCCGCGGGGGCAGACACCCGCCCCCACAGCCTCCGACCCCGCGCGGCGGGCGAGCTCAGCCCCCAGGCACGGCAGGGCGGGGCGAGGGGCGCGAGCGCGGGCCAGGGTCCCCGCCCGCCGCTGCCCCCACGCGCTCGAGGCCTCCCCGGACTCCCGCCTCTCGCGGGCCTCTCCTTCGCCGGCCGGGCCGTCGGGCCGCGGGAAACAAAGGAGCCGCCGCCGCTCCTGCCCGCGTCCGGCTTCACCGCGCACCCCTCCCCAGCCCGCCGGGCCCGGCTCGCCCTCACCCCTCCCGGAGTCCGCGCGCCGGCCGCCCGCGGCCCCTAGACGGCAGGCCCGGCAGAGCCGGGGCCTCGGGTGCGCTGCCGGCCCGGCCTGGGGCTGCACTCACCGCTGCAGCACCAGGACGACGGGGAGCCGTTGGGGAACTTGGCTGAGTCCGGAGCGATGCAGACGCTGGAGCTCAGGTGTGGACACTCCATGGCCACTAGGAGGGCGGCGGGGAGGACCGAGGCTCCGGGACCGGGCGAAGTGGGGGCGGAGGAACTCCGGAGGCTCCGTCTGGGGTCGCTCCTCGCCGGGCGCTCGGCCGACGGCGGCTGCGTCCCGAGCCCTTGCGTCAAAGAAAGCAAGGGCTTCCGGGCGCCGGGTTTTCCCGCCCGCCGCCTCTCGGCTCCCAGCTCCCGAGAACGTGGAAGTCCGAGATCCGGGTTCTGCAGCCAGCCCTTGACTGGAGGCTTCCGCCTTCCCAGGCCGGCCCCGCCCCGCCCCCCCCTCGGGCTGGGCCCGCCCCCGGGCCCGCCCCCGTCCGCTCCCGCTGGGTGGGCCCCGCGCGCACCAGCTGGTGGCGCAGAGTCCGGCTGCGCTCCGGAGTGACTTTCCCAACTTCGCCACCCCGGCGGCCGCGGCTTCCCCTAGCCCCGGGAGGGGTGGGGCGCCGAGCCGGGGCACCGGGGCCGGGCCGCTGCGTTTCCTGCGGTCGGCGGAGGAGGCTGACCCTGCGTGGGGTGAGGAGGTCTGACGGCGGCGCAGCTAGGTGGTAGCCAATCTGGCAGAGTGCGAAGAAGAAAATAAAAACCACTCGAGCAGGCAGGCCCTATAGCCCTCATTTTACACAGGAAGAAACAAGGTCGCAGAGGTTAAGGGCCTGGCTCAGGGGGCCCAGCGGGTTGCGTGGGTCCCGGGCCAACCTGACTTTAATGTTCTGGTCCCCGCGGCAGGTGCTCTCCGGGGCCTGCGTGAGCTTTGGAACCCGTGGCCTTAGCCACGCTGCGTGGCCCGGCCCGCAGGGGCGCCCTCGGCTCTGGGTTCAACCCGTGTGCCTGTGACTCAACCGTCTGCGTTACCTCGAGCACATCGTCGGACTTTCGTGCCTCGCTCATCGCTGGAAGTTTAAGTGAAATAAACGTAACCTGTCCTTGGTGAGCAAGGACCCCCTCAGCCTCCAGCCCCCCCGCCGTTACCAGGTGATTTTTTTTTAAAAAGGGGAAAGGTTCAAACATTTGTTAGACGCCCACAACTGTCTCCCTGCCAAGCACTTTACATACAATACCTCAGTTAAGCCTCACAACACCCTACCAGCTGCTGTTACGGTCCCCTTTTTGCCACGGGGAAACAGAGTCTGTAATTTGCTAATCCGTGCCGATTGGATCCCTGCCTCTCTGACCTCTTTCTAGAAAAGCGTTGAGGGAGAGAGCAAACCTCAGGGGGCGGCTAGGGCCGGTTTACACCCGAGCCAGCCTGCGATCTCTATGGGGCAAGGCCTCCAAGACGCCCTGGGCTATTACGAGTTGGGGCTCCTTGTAAAACCCGGCGAAGGAGCTGCGGGGCCAGCAGGAGACCAGGGGGAGGAGGAAGACTGATGTGGCAATCCTGCAGGCAGCGCGAGAGGAGGAAGGAAGGTCAGGAAATGATTAACCGGGCCGGGCAGTGGTTAGACCAGGGCACCTCCCCATAGTGCAATCCTAGAGCAGCCCAGGGACACCCTTTGGTCGCTTCTCCTCCCAGCGCCACTAGTCTGTTCCTTCCACGCAGTCCTCTGCCTGTTGGTGTCCGCCCACCGGGGACATCTCTGCCCACCCTTTCCCTCCGGTGGTATTTCGGATTCCTCGTCAAAGATCTTCTGTGGCTTTGCAAGTTTATTTGATTGCTGTTAGAGCAAGCCTGAGTCCTGGGATTTTATGGCAGTGAGGAGTTGGGGCAAGTGCAGCTGCCTAGGAAGCCGGGCGAGCATGCGTTCCAATCCTAGCCCTGCCTCCTACTCAGTAGCCAACCTTAGTAAGTGTCTCTAGTCCTTCCAAGCCTTTTTCTTCATCTGTGAAAAATGGAAAATATTATTACGCGTATCTCGCAAGGGAGATGTGAGAACTCATGAAGATTGCCACCACCTTACTAGGTAGCCAGTAAATTATAGCTTTTTAAAAAATGATAGCAGGCGAAGGCTGTTTCCCTGAGACCAGGGAAGAGGATAAACACTATCTGGGCCAGGTGGGGTGGCTCGCACTTGTAATCCTAGGGAGGCTTAGGTGGGAGGATTGCTTGAGGCCAGGAGTTGGAGACCAGCCTGGGCAACATAGCAAGACCCCATCTCTACAAAAAATAGAAAACTTAGCCAGGCATGGTGGTGCAAACCTGTAGTCCCAGTTATGGTTGAGGTAGGAGGATCGCTTGAGCCCAGGAGTTTGAGGCTGCAGTGAGCTATTATGATGCCACTGTGACAGAGGATGGAGACTCTGTCTCAAACAACAACCAAAAAAATAATAATAATAATATCTGACCTTTGCTCAAGCTCTTTCACCCATCTCCTCCCTCAACCTATTTTGTGTTTAAGGTTGGCTCAACCAAACTTCTTGGTTCTCTTCTGGACACCTACCCCAACTTAGTATCCACTGCCCCTCATTTAGCATCATCTGACTCATGCCATCGTTCATACTAGTATATGATGTTTCTTTTTTCACCTTCTCAGAGACTCAGTTTCTTAATCCCCCTAGACTTCAGATTAAACTTTGCTTACTCAGGAAGCCTTTCCTGACCCTATTCCACCCCTAGATTACCTCCCAGTGTGTGATGCTCTTGTCTGTGCCCACACCTGCCTTTTTAAAACACTCTACATGCATGTAATTGTTTGTTTAATGTCTCTGTTCCCCTTAGAGGTCCATAAGAGTAGCAAACAAGTCTGTCTGGTTTCCTGCTTTATTTTTAACATACTATATGGAACATGGAGGGTATCCAATAAGTAAATGTTCGATAAATGAATGAGTGAGCAAGTGATGGCTTAGCAGTGTCTACCCTGGGCAGGAGCTCAGAAAGCTGCACAATATATACCAAGTATCTGCACCCTGGAGATGATCTATAAATTTCCTTTCAGTTCTGACTTTATTTTAACAGGATCAGGAATGTGAAAAAACCTTGTAAGGTGTAAAATTTTTTTAAAAACTCTCAGAGCAGGGGCCCTACTTTAATTATCCCTGGTGCAGATAGTTCCCGGAGGACAGACTCTATCAGGCATTCCTGAGAAGCTGGACAAAATCAAAGAGGCCCCCCTAGGGCTTTTGCTAGATTTCCCTAACCAGCAAGCTTTCCCGTGTCTTTGAGAGTTTTCATAATAAGAAAAAATTGGGGGGTGGGGGTAGAAATGCACAGTGAGTAAATGTGTCAAATGGGGGAAGACCACAGGGCACACCGGGAAATCTGCCTTTTCAGTCGCTTGTTTCTTCAGCTGCATTTAATACAAGGTTTTCTGTTCTTGGCCGGTGTCCCTTTGGCACTGAGGAGCTCTGACTTACATACCAGTGCGCCCTGATGGTGAGGAGCGAGCCTCCAGCTCCGCGCGTGAGTGCCCAGCCCCCTGGAAATCCGGGGTCGGGAGGCGGGGGTGTCCGAGGTAAAGCCTGCCAGAAACAGCGGGCCCCGTTTTTAAAGTTTGCATTTCTCCGGGGAGAGAAATGCACAGTTTCAACCGTACTATCAAATATGCCTCTCCTGAAGGGTAGACTGTATGTTGTCTTGGAGGAGGGGGAGCGTGGGGAAGGGGAGGGCACACATTGCAGGGGAACCATGTCAGGAAAGGACCTTCCTAAAACCTTAGACTTGTGACTTCTAGCAGAATCAATGGTCTTTAACCAATTATTACAAGGCTGACTGGGCCCTGGGGAAAACTAGCTGTGACTGTCCTCACTCAGGTGAGAGGCTCACTGGAAACACCAAGGGAGCTAGTTTAATTATTTACCATAGAGATTTTTTTTTTTAGGACCAAAGCCTCCTTGGGAAACCAAAGTTAGATCAAGAGGAGGCTTGGCAAGTATTCACAAGTGTTGGGGGTGGAGGGTTGCTGTCCGGGGAGCGGGGAGCAGCCGCTCAGGGACTCCTCCATTGCCTGGTTTAATTCTCCTAGCAGCACCTATCTGTTTCCTTGCTTGTTTACTTGTTTATCTATTGTCAGTCTCCATGAGAACAGGGACCTTGCTATTCCTGTTGGTTGCCTGATTTCCAGCTCCTGGAATACAGCCTGGTACATGGCAGGCCCTCAGCAACTATTTGTTGAATGACTAAATAAATGAAGGGGGGTGGGCATGGGCTCCAGCCAGCCAGCCCTCACTTCCCCACGCAGAAATACTGGCAGCAGTCACTCTCCCCACTTCTTTCCATCCGTCCCTTTCATATCATCTCCCTGCTCAAAATTCTGGCAGGATAAAGTCCCAAACTCACTGCTGTTTCAGGCACTAGGCCCCTCCCTTAAAGCTTTTTTGTTTTGTTTTTAAGTGTTGCAGCAGTACCTTAAATAGTCCCCTCATTATAAGAAAATGTGCTTCCTCGCACCTCTGTTTCCTGCCCTGTCTTCCATTTTTACCTGGCCAGTTCCTACTCCTTCCCCAGGAAGCCTTACAGCCTCCTCAGGAAAGCCCTAGTCACTTGCCCATGCAGGCTTCTAAATCCTCTCCCACTGCCACCACCACCCATTCCGTCCCTGCAGTTTGTCATGTGGTGCTGTTATTTTCTAGTCACATTTCAGTCTCCAGTGGGAATAGGTGTTTTTCTTTTCGTCTCTGGGTTCTCAGCACCTAGTTCAGCAATAGCAGATATTTTTAAATGGTATCTGTTGACTGCCTGTTGTTGGAAGTGCCCCTTTCGGAAGTGATTACATCAATAATTACATGAAATGGTCCCCTAGATATTCACGGAAAGGACCCCAACTATTTAAGAACAGAAACTTACATTTATTGGGTCCCAATTAGGTACCAGATACTGTGTCAAGTGGTTTTCATTTCTTCTTTCATCCCCACAGTAGAGCTGGGAGGTAGATATTGTCATCTCTATTTTACTGATGAGAGAACAAAAACTCCAAGAAGGTTAAATAGATGCACAAACTTACACAATTAGTAATTGGTCTTTTATCAAAGGTGGTAAAGTTTCACCCCTCATACACGTGGTCACATACATGATTTCGCAGTGTTATGTAGAGGAACTATAATGTAGACTCTTAGGGACCACAAGACTCAGAAGAGCCTCCTGAACAACTAAAGAAAGAATCATTCTTACTCAGTGCCATTGTGATGATTATTATGTCATCAACATCTTAATGTATTGCTTTTAACTCTTTTTCTCAGCTGAACTCTCCTTTTATTAAGGAGATGAGAGGGTTTTCTTGTTTAAAGACCCACTTTGCAGATAAAGTACTGACCAATTAAGCAAAACAGTGTGGCTTTAACACTGAACACCTCTTTGACAGTGAATGAGTCTGGCCTGTTCTCCACCTGTACCGTCAGGGGATTGAACTAAATGGCCACCAAGGCCTTTCCAGAGTGAACATCCGACAGTCTTGTGATAGTCATCCAGTGATACCGGCAGAGGCAAGGCCATCTGTGTATGCTGTGGCAGAGGCTACTGTTTACCCCAAATCTGTTTTCATTTCCTCCTAGTTTCACAACTAGAAATTTCTCAGCTTCCCTTGTAACTAGGTGTGGCTATTTTAGTCAATGCAGTCTGAACAGAAATCGCAAGGATCAGCCTTAGCTGGCACTGTGGACAGCTGCCCATGACAAAAACACAGTGTCCAGTTTTGGTTATCAACAACACAAGGAGGAAATGGGAGAAATATATTAGGCCAGGCCCAGGAAAAAGAAAAAAATGGGCCTTCCAGGCTTCTAGCCTGCCCTTTCCATGTTTCCTCTTCAAATATTCATTCATGTATTCAACATATCTTCTCTGTTCTCCTATCACATGCCAGGCACTGAAGATACAGGGACTTAGAGCTCAGTGCTGTCTGGAGTCCTCTGCTCTGTTGGCATCTCTTTGCTGTTATCAAGATGAAAAGCATTGTGATATCACTCACTTCCCCTTGCTCATTAGTTGCCTGATTGGACATCAGAACTTCTACATTTCAGTCAAAGTGCTATACAGAGTAGGAGCCTTAAGGCTTTTAATTGTGAAAATGACATCAAATGTAAAGAGTCTGACTTCATGTTTGGCGTATGGTAAACCCTCGACAAATGTCTGTCTGCTTGAGATCCTGGCAAATAGGAGCATTGACGTAGGAGGCAGGGGATGATGGCCTGAAACCATTGATTCTAGCACAGCTGGCACAGAAGTTGGAGGTTAGGTTTTTGTCTTTTTACAGGGATCTTAGCCAGATCATTCATTCAACAAATATCACTGTTGAACTAGGTTTGGAGATACAAGAATGCACAACACACAGTTTTAACCTCAAAGGGATGAGGGAAGGTACAAGAAAAACAGACCAGCAAAGAGGCAATTGCAACACAGTGTGATCAGTGCTAGGTGGGGAAGTACAGGATGTTGCTTAGCCACAAACAAGGGGCAACTAACCCAGGCTGGTGAGTGGGGGAGGGGAAAGCGTCAAGCAAGGCTTCCTGGAGTAAGTGACATGTGACCTGAGACTTGATTGAGACCTAGGAGTTAGCCAGGTAAAGTGTGGGGGAGGGGCGGAGAAGGGTGCATAGTGTCCCAGGCAGAGGGAACAGCATCTGCAAATGCTCACAGGTTCACAGAGGATTTGGGACTGTCATTCTGGGAGGAGAGTCATGTGCAAGGGGACAGAAGGCTGGCAAGGCGAGATGGTGAAGGACTACCAACCAAGAACTGCCAACCAAGAAATCTGGCTCCTCAGGACTTTGGCATTTTTCAGGGTTTCACTTTGCCCAGGTCCTGGGAGAGAGGATGAGGGGGCAAAGACACAGAAAGAGGAGAAAGAATGTAAAGAAAGGAACTAACGATTATTAAACATCTGTAAGGTGTTCGAGTGCGTTAGTCATCTGAGAAATGCAAATAAAAACCACAGTGTGTACCTAGCCAGAAACAAACAGGCAGGGGTTAGAATGCAGATGCGGCTTCCCCCACTCTCACGCTGATCATGACCGGGTCTCTCGGAGACTGTCCCTGAGGAGCTTTCAACTCACAGAGGAGGAGGGGCTCAGACAATCTAAGAAGTGAATTTTGATGGGGAAAAGAATCTTAGACTTAAGGAACCTCCATCTCTGCCTTCCCCTCTTCTTCCCTAACCTTAATCTAACAATTCAGCTATCCAGAATATTCAACTGACCAGAAAATGAATTTCTCATAATTTCCCAATTATAAATATTTTTTTTGGCAGCACCAGCAGGGACAAAAAAGTGTTAAACATTATTCCCATGCACAGAACAATGGTAGGAAAGAAAGGAAAGGGGCCTTAGAGCCCTTCCGCCTTCCTCAGTTACCTGGGGAGCAGCTAGAGTCTTCGGGCTGGAAGTGGAGCCCAGAAGCAGCAAGACTTCATGGAGAATTGCACTTCCTAAGTGGCCTTGGGGCAGAGTGATTAGAGACCTGGAATGGTCACCAGTTGCAAGGAGGAGGAATCTGGTCCTAGAGAAGTGATACATTTGTGCAGCATCATAGAGTACTCTGGTCGGCTCCTGGCCCCAGAGTGCTCCTTACTCGCTGGATTCTGTGCAAAGCCAAGCTGGAGAAGAGTGTTTTCCTGCACCTCATTTGGCCTTTTCTGGTGTGCGGAATGCACGAGCTGGTTCTACCGGAGAAAAAGATGGCTGCAGAGTAAAAAGCAGAGTGTAGAGGTCAGTATAGCAGGTCCCTCCATAAATAACCTCCAGACTCAGCCAGTGAGCCCTCTAAAGGCAGTGGTAGCCCACATGTGAGGCACTCAGGGAATTACATTAATCTGGTAAATAAATGTGCATTAGCAGTGAAAGGCTTACTGTAAAGCTAGAAGCGCATAACAGCTGTTGGCTCTCGTAGGGGAAACTGGGTGGGAGAAGAGAAAGGGAGAAAAATTACTTTTCACTGTGTACACTCTTTTATTTCTTTTGCGTTTTGTACTTACTTAAAAAGTAAGTGCTATTTTTTTTTTTTTTTAATTAAGGCCTAATGTGATTCCCCTCTCAGAGAAAATTTGCGCTGCCATGGGAGGGTCTTTAGAGTCAAATCGATTTGGATTTGATTTGCAGCTCATCCTGCTACTTCCTTGCTTTGTGTCCTAAAACAAGTTACCTACCTACCCTGAGTCTCACACTCCTCAACTACAATGGGGAAAATGATCCTCCATTGCATCATGATGAAGGTGAAATGTGAGACTCACCATGTATCAGGCACGCCTCTGAATGCTTTCAGTCCGTGTATTGACTCATTTCAGTCTCTAGACAACCCTTTAAGAGGGATACTCTTCTTTCCTTCCTCCTTGTTTTACATATGAGACCACTGAGCCCTAGGGAGACTAAGGAACTTGTTTAGGGAGCAAGTTACTTCCCTCCCCTACCTAGCTCTTCCTACCCCCACTCTGCTGCTTTGAAATGTTAGCATCCTCTCTTTTTCAATAGGGAATTCTTTTAAAATGCAAACATTTTCAAGATCCAAAGAAATGTCTTTCTCGTGGTGGGCTGTTGCTTATGAGGACAGGCTGGTAAGGACAGTGCTGGTGAGGAGGTTAGCAAAGCAGGTAAAAGAGAGAGAGAGGTTCAGTTCCAATGAAGTTAAGAATTTTGCAATCAGAAAATACAGTTGAATTGTAACATGCATGTAAATATTATTTAACATTTTATTTTTATTTTTAAATTTTCTTAAAAAATTACTTATTATTTATTTATTTAGACAGAATCTTGCTCTGTCACCTGGGCTAGAGTGCAGTGGTGTCATCAGTGGCTCACAGCAGCCTCTGACTCCTGGGCTCAAACAATCTTCCTGCCTCAGCCTCCTGAGTAGCCAGGACTACATGCGCTAATTTTTTCTATTTTTAGTAGAGACAGGGTTCCGCTCTTGCTCGGGCTGGTCTCAAACTCCTGACTTCAAGGGATCTTCCCACCTCAGCCTCCCAGAGTGCTAGGATTACAGGTGTGAGCCACTGCACACGGCCTAAAATGTTCAATTATATATTGCAGGAGGACTGCATGAAATCTTTTTAGGACTTAGGGCTTCTAAAAGCAAACTTTTGGGCAGTGTTGCTCCCCCCACCCCTCAAATGGGTCCTCAGCTGAGTCACCTCCTGCTTACATTACTGATTCTCCAGGCACCCACAGTCAGTCTTTCTGTGGTTAATATCTTTATATTAACTCGTCTGTGGTGATTTGCCTATTTTACTTAGGATTGAACTTTTCAAAATTCCAATGAATCGAATGTCACAGGCAATTGGTTTCTCAATTTCATTGAGTGTTTACTGCACTTGGAAAAAAAAATTCCTTTGCATTTCCTTAAAAAAGAGTTTCAAAGTAAGAAATGAGCCTGAACTTGTAAGGGGTAAGGGCATTTATTTTCCTTTGGCTGAACTGAAAAGACTCTTCCAGAATTGTGCATTTCCTTTCCACTTTCCCTGCACGTGCCTGTCACCCCCTCCTACCACAGGACCCTCAATATTTCCTATAGGTCTTCTCCCCTCCACCCAAAAATCAGGCCACTCCCCCTTTTCAGCCCCCACACAGGCCTTGAAGGGGGCTTATGCTCAGCCTGTGCTAGATAGGGACCTCCCAACCCTGGGTCCAACCCTTTTTTTCACATGTCCCCTGAGTGTCCAGCCTGGCAACTGGTCCTGGCCAAAGGGAGGAACCACATGAAGGCCTCATCTCTGCCTTCCACCATCAGTTTTCTCTGCAAACTTGCATCATCTCTTCCTGCCTGTTGTGCTCTATCAGAAGCTTCTAGCAGCTCCCTACTGCTCCAGAAGCAAGCCCAGACCCCTCCCTGGCATCCTGAGTGCTCTGGCAGCCTTGCCTCTCTCCACATCCCCATGTGGGCCTGATGGCTGAGCAGGTCCTCAGTGCTCTCACCCTGGGCCAAGCTGTTTCCTCTGCCTGTTTCTCTCCAGCCTGGGGAGCCATCTCATCTACCAAGGCCTAGCACAAAGTCCATATTTAGAAGAATTCTTCCCAGCACTCATCTCATTCATATTCTCTCTCTCTCCTTTTTTCTTCCCTCCTTTCCTTCTCCTTTCTTTTCTCTCTCTCTCTCTTTCTCTCTCTCTTTCTCTCTCTCCCTCCCTCTCCCTCTCTCCCTCTCTCCCTCTCTCCCTCTCGGATTGACCTCCTTCCTTTAGCCACACTCAGAGACTATTTGTACCTCTGTGATAGCACTTATTTCAGACTGCTTTGGAGTAGAGTTCTGCATGTTCACACCACCTCCTGGGTTCGAAACTGTGCTCCTGGGATTCAAGAACTACCGGTTGCTCATTCAATGCATATGTATCTTAGTGCTGGCCCCCGGGTTTTGCACCTGGAGTAGGTTCTCAATAAATGTTTGGCCCTTGAGTACAGTGACTTGATGGAAAGGATTGAGTGTGAGTCCCCTCCTACCTCCTAATGTGTGACCTTGGACGAGTGACTTACCCTCTCCAAGCCCCTTAGGTCCCAAACCTATAAAATTGGGGTTATAATAGTGCCTACCCCATGGGGTGGTGAGGAATGAGTGAGATATGCGTAGAAGAGGAAATGTAACACTTGACGTTCATAAAAGTAAGTTTCCAAGAAACATGAGTCACCAACTTCATCCTACACACACTTGGAGATTCACTTTTGTCCTGGATCTCCTAGAGTGGGTATCTGGGGAGAAGGCCTCTAGAATATTTACATTGGAAGATACCGATGACCTCTATGCAACCTGGGCCTGGTCACAGAGTGGGTGGCAAAGACTGAAAAGATTCTGAAGAAAGTTGGGGGTGGTGCACAATGCTGGCAGCCCCGGGAGAGGCAGGGCCACTCCCTTCCCATCTTAAGAGACCAGACACTACCCAGGAAATCAGCTCCTCCACTGTCCTTATGCTACAGATGAACACCTACTAGAAACCCTCTCCAAAGCCATCTTTATGGTTTAATGTGAGCCTGAATAATTGGAGAACAGGAAAGGCAATTTGGAGCATGGAGAAAGGGAATTTTCAAAGGAGCTTGGCCAGTGTGTCTCTGGGACTAAGGGTGAGGGGAGCAGAGGCCAGGACTCTAGAGGGTCAGGGATGCCCCATCATTGAGACATGCACTCTTGCCAAACAGCCTTCTGCCTTTACCTTGGTTTCCAGGAGCAGCCATCCTGGAAAGGGCTGGGGCTGGGGTGGGGTATTACATGGAATGGAGAGGGCAGAGTGGGAGCAGAGCAGTATACTCTGTTTGGCCACTGTGGTTCTCAGTGGACATTATTAAATGGGTATGTTGATACATTTCCATCTCCTGGGAAATTGGGCAGACCACCAGCTTTTCTCTGGGACAAGCTCCCTTGAATAAGTCAATGTACTTATGCATACCGTCTCCACTGGCCTGTCCAAAATCTAAGTCCCTGTGATAGGGCAGTGTTTTGGGAATGGGAGGGCAGAATTGATGCTGGGGGAAGAGTGGTCACCATGGAAGATTTGAATGCCATGTGGCAGCCTTTCCTTTGGAGACAAGATCCTGGACTAAGCTCTTGCTATTTGAATGACTTTTGGAGACCATCGAGTCCAATCTGCCCTTTTTCAGATGAGGAAACTGAGACCTAAAGAGCCCAGGCCCCAGGGGGGAAAGCCCAAGTCTCCTCCCCCCAGTCCAGGGTTTCTATCTTGTTTCTCTATGAGAGTCCCATAAAGATATTTTGCTGTGGTACCATGCAGATACTGCCACATGGCTGAAAAGGTTAAATCTGGATTTGAGTAGAAAGTATGAATCCTACTTGCTCTAATCTCAAAATGGAGCCCGACTAACTACTTGCTTGACTTGTAGCTTCTCTTTCCTATGGGGAGTGGGCGTGGGCAGAGACAGGACTTGTGCACACACTGTCTAGATCTGTTCTCTGATAGAATCTTGGGGCGGAGTTGGGGAAGGTCCAAGGTGTGACGGTTTTGACTTGATCAACCTGCTCTTTTGAGTGCTGGGCAGGTAGGCAGGCAGTCTCTTCCTCCCCCCCTAAAAGATGTCCAGCCTCTTCAAGACCAAAGGAGGCTGGTGTGCAATGAGAATACCGCTGGGAGGTACACTTGGCACCTGTCCTGGGCAAAGGAACAGACTGAATGAAAAACTGAAAGTAACTCACGTGGGTTCAAGAAAAAGCAGAAGTAAATAAAGCTGGCATGACCAATGAAAAAGCTAAAGGAAGGAGATATAGAAAGGAATGATGAAACTCTCAGTGAGTTCATTCACTCAACCAAGAGCTCTTTAAGTGACTGACTGTACCAGCTACAGTTCCAACCAAGCACTGGAGAAATCAGACCAAGCAGGGTGCAGAGACCCATGCAGGCGACACAGGAAAAGTCAAAGTCATAGGCAGATTCTCAGTTAAAATGGAAAGTAAAGTTAAAAGAGGACGGTGGGAGGAATGAGATCTTGAAAAAAATCTGTCAGAAATTTCAAGAGGATAACATCTGCACAGATGATATTTTTTATGTATTTATTTTTTGTAGAGATGGGGTCTCGTTATGTTGCCCAGGCTGGTCTCAAACTCCTGACCTCAAGCAATCCTGCCCTGGCCTCCCAATGTGCTGGAATCACAGGCATGAGCCACCTTCCCCAACCTGCATAGATGATATTTTTTAAAACCTGGGAGAAAGGAGGCAGAGAAAGATGCAATTTGAGAGCTGCTTTGGCAAAGAACCAAACGGAAGTGTCTGCACTGCATATTGGGGTAATTCATTCACTCGGCAAGCACTGCCTGAGCTCCTCTTGTTTCTCTAGCCACTCCAGCCTCCCTGCTATTCCAGGCATACTCCACCACTCTGCCTTTAATCTCTCAGGTCAGGGTTCCCTAATTTAAAGGGCTTCCTCCCAATCAGCAGCACCATTGTCTTAGTCTTTTCTGTTGCTATAAGAAAATACCACAGACTGGGTAATTTATAAAGAAAAGAAATGTATTTCTTAGAGTTCTGGGGGCTGGGAAGTCCAAGGAGCACATCTCCTGAGGGCCTTCTTGGTGGTAGGAGCTCTCTCCAGAGTCTGGAGGCAGTGTAGGACATCACATGGTCAGAGAGCTGAGTGTGCTAGCTTCCTCTTCTTATAAAGCCACCTATCCCACTCCCATGGTAACCCATTAATCCATTAACCCATTTAATCCATGAATCCATGCATGGATTTATCCATTCATGAGAGCAAAACCCTCATGACCCAATCACCTCTTCAAGTCCCCATCTCTTAATACTGCCACAAGGGGGAATAGGTTTCAAAATGAGTTTTGGAGGGGACAAACATTCAAAGCATAGCAACCATTTAGCAGATGCATAAACAAGCTGAAAATGCTGGGACAGGATTCTAATTCATCTTTGTACCTCAGTGCTAGGCATATAGTAAGCATCTAGGAAGTGTTTGATGAATGAATGAATATCATTGTTAGGCACTGAGGAGGCCTATTTTTAAAAAATAAGAAATGTTATGATCACAACTTTGTAAAAAGTACATTAAAATTTTTTTAATAAATAAAAGGAATTATTTCTTATAGTTATGGAAGCTGAGAAGTCCAAGGTCAAGAGGCCACATCTGGGGAGAGCCTTCTTGCTGGTGGGGACTCTGCAGAGTCCCAAGGCAGTACAGGGTGTCACATGGCAAGGGTGAATGTGCTGACATGCTCACTAAGGTCTTTTTTCTTCTTTTTATTTTTATTT